CCTGATTGCCTCATTTATTTTTTATAGTGTTGAATAATACACATGTATTTATACATATGTATATATTTGTGAACCACCTCAAGCTCTTTTTGGAAAGAGGTGAGAAATGGAAAATAGTCAAGGAGGAAGGAAAGACTTCAAAGGCAAGATGGAAAAGAAAAGCTAGGTGTGATAAAGATCCACGGGTCAAAATGGATAAATTTGGGGAGAATTCAGCCACTCACATTCATTAATTACTTATTAAACGCTGTGCTAAGGATCACATGCCAGGCCCTGGGGATACAAAGATGAGAGTACTGCCTCAGTGGAGCTGCCAAGCTGATAGTCCCTCCGTCTACAAAATGAGGCTAATAATAGTAATCAGTTCACAGGGTTGTTGTGAGGATTAAATGAGATGATCTGTGCAAACCATCTAGCATTTCTTAACTACATAATAAATCAACTACTTTTCTCCTTGTTTCTTTCTGATATTTCACTCTAAATTGGAGATGGAAACAGAAATTCATAAGAGTGTTTGGATTTTAATACACTCACACTCCAAATTTATTTTGAGCTACTCATGTTAGTAGCAGCAGAACATCTCTTTCTTCTTTTACTCCTAGTGTTAGAAAGCTTTAAGCAATGAATTGCAGTAGAGACGATAGGAGTAAAGTGTGAATGTATGCAAGAATATTTGAGAGAAGGAATAAAAATGGAAAACAAAGACCAAAGGGATGTGTACAATAATTGAAGAGTGGCCATTGTATCAGGACAATCTTCCAATTATCCATAAGGATCATTAAATAAGGGAAAGAAGAATCAGCCAGCTAGTGTAGCTCCAGGTCAGTCTCCAGGCCTATTCAGAGGTTTGGAGTACATTGGAATTACAAATCAATGCAGATTCAAGTCATGCCTCCCTGATCAGCGCCAGGTACCAAACCTCAGCATCAACAAGATGGGCCCAGATTCACTTGGATCTCTGTAAGGCCGCCTAGCTCATGGAGGCACTCTAGATGAGTCTAGATAGAGGACAGATATGTTAAGATTTTGTTTTTGTTTTTGTTTTTTGTTTCTGTTTTTCAGACCCAGTGCGGAGGCTCATGCCTGTAATCCCAGCACTTTGGGAGGCCGAGGCAGGAGGATAGCTTGAGCCCAAGAGTTTGAGACCAGCCTGAGCAACACAGTGCGACCTCCATTTCTACAAAAAAATTAAAATAAAAATAAATTAGATGGGTGTGGTGGTGTGTGCCTCTCGTCCCAGCTACTCAGGAGGCTAAGGTGGGAAGATCGCTTGAGCCCAGGAGGGCAAGGCTGTAGTGAGCCATGATCACACCACTGCACTCCAGCACTGCGTGACAGAATGAGATCTGGTCTCAGAAAAAAAAAAAAAGAAAAAGAAAAAAAGTTTTTTTTGAAAAAGAAGAAAAAGGAGGGCAGTCATTATGGAGCAGCAGAGTAAATAAAATCCTAAACACCTGTCCCCAGACCTCAATCAATGGTAAACAGTTGGCCACTGCTTGCTGTCCTTAATTTTAACTTTTTTTTCTTTTCTAGTGAAGAAAATGTCCCCTGATAGAAGAAATGACTGATGACATAAGGAAAGTGCTAAATCAATAACCAATCATTCCTCTTCCTCCTTCAGCTGTGTAGCAGGCTCCTCTTATAAACCTCTGCAAAGTTCTACTTGAAAAGCTGTGGTTTCATTTCAAAGGAAACCAACAATCGGGGGATCTCTATGGGAAAATCTCTTCCCTGTGTCTTCTTTAGACTCTTCAAAAAGGAGAGAGAGCACAAAAAAAGAAAATACAGAAGTAAATAGGTTTCAAGTACATCAAGAATCACAGTTTCTAAAAAGGCTAGTGAAAGGTCAATGACTTCAGACTCAAGAAATCCATTTCTAATGTTTCTTCAGCTGTGACTCATTGTGAAATGTTGAGGAGGGTCACAGAAGCCTCCAGTCCTCGGTTTCCCCAGTTGTAAAACATAGATTTGAATAAGTGGCCAGTCCACATTATATCTGATGTGCTTTCAGGGACTCAAAACAAGAATCATAAATATGTAAAATACAAAGATGAGGTGTTGCCTGTGGAGAAACACTAAACTAGCAGAAAAAGAAACATCACATTTGTGTGCTAATTGGGTATTCCAGATTAAAGTAATTTGTTAAAAATTATTGGAAGAAAAATCCACAATTTGGCAATAAAAAGGATTTCTGTAAGAAGAGACAGACAAGATCATAACAGATTCAGTGACTCTAGGTTACTCAGCCAAATTAAAATGTTCTCCTTTCATCCTTGAAGGGAAATCCTTGAGAAGTTTGTGGACCGTCACCATCTGTTCAGCAAAACATGCATCAACATAATATTTTCCACATGTTTTTTGTTTTCTTTTTAATTTTGCAAACGGAGATTAATCTTTTCCTAGTCAGAATGTTTTACTATAACCATTGTCAGAGGAAGTTAGTGGAAACTCGGTTTTGATCCCACTTCTCTCCCTACCCACTTGCCACCATTTGCGTTTTCTATGGTGAAGTATGGATTAAAGCTGAGGAGAAACTAATAATTCACCTCCTTTGCAGATCATGACAAGTCTATATTTCATAAAACTGGAGAAATCCTGCTCTGAAGCCCATTTTTCATGCAGCCACAAAGTCATCTCTTTCTTCTCATCAGAACTCCATAGCGACTTCCATCAATAGCTGGATCGAGGGCAAGAGTGCCATCATCACCTGGGGACTCACTCTTCGCTGTGCCATGCCAGTCAACTCTTCCCTTCCCTACTATCCTTCTTCCACCACCATTCCCCTCTGCCTGTCATGTCAGTTTGCAGTTGGTCAATGAGTGCTTTCCAAGCCCCGGCTCTGTGCCCAGCATCATGCAAAGCCTAAATGGACATGGACAACAGTCTTAAACGACTTCCTACCCACAAGCAGCTCACAAACTTGTTGGGAAGAAAATAGAACAAGGAGAAGAAAAGAGTGTAAAAGCATCCACTGTGACATGGTAAAAATGATGTTGACAATAATAATGATGGTGATGGGATCTAACTCCTCTATTTTACCTGTAACTTGTCTTCCAAGTTTCTACACATTGGTTGGCCAGAGGAAAATTAACTTTGAATTCCATCTAGTCAAAAGTCTAGTCTGGTTCAATAATTTTAGTAGTCCCTTTAAGAAATGCTCAGCTGTGTGATACTCACTTTCCAAAAAGCTTAAATCTTAGAAAACAGTTCCCTTGTCCATTTAGGTGGGTTTGTGCAATGCTGATCAAAGTTTGGTCCATCTATGACCTCTGATATTACTGTCACTCCCAAAGCGAGGTTTATTTCCACCTAGATGCAATACTCATAAAGAAAGAAAACCACTAAGTGATGTGTTAATAACAGGTATAGCAAGCACCACTGTTATTTTAAACAAGTAAAAGGAAACCCAAAGAGACTGGCAATACAAGAAGTGCTATGGGCTAAACTGTGTCCTCACAAAAATTCATATAGTGAAGCCCTAATGTCCAGTACCAGGACCTCAGAATGTGACAGTATTCAGAGATAGGGCTTTAAAGAGGCAATGAAGTTAAAACGAAGTCATTGATGTGAGGCTCTAATTCAATGACTTATAAGAAGAGGAAATCCAGACACAGATGGGCACGGAGGAAAGATCACATTAAGACAGAAAAAGAAGATGGCCGCCTACGAGCCTAAGAGAGAAGCCTCGGGAGAAACCAATCCTGATGACACCTTGATCTCAGATGGCTGGCCTTTAAAATTGTGAGAAATTAACTGTCTGTTGTTTAAGCCACCCAGTCTGTGGTACTTTGTTGTGACAACCCTAACAAGCTAATACAATAAACAGTCTCTAAAAAACATCTCTCTGTGAATGACACAAGAACCCAGCATTCTGTTTTTCTCACTGACATTTTTGCTGTTTTAATTACTAAAATGATGTCTGCCATAAAAAAATGTTTAAGAATGTTTGTTGACCTAATAAGTGGATACTATCTTTGTAGTTAATTCACGATACAATTTTAATACATTTTACCAGCCTAAATAGAAAAATCAAACTGAAAACGTAACTTCCTCATTAAACAAAAAGCATTCTAAATAAACATGCTAGGTAATTTCTAACAATAATGTTTTAAAATTGTTTAAAGGTCAAAATAGCAACAAGTCACAAAAGTCATCATTTCTACAAAGCCTTATGTGTTACTTCGTTGAGATGCAAGTTTCAAATTATGGAGAGGTAGATGACTGATAAAAGGATTTTATCTTAATTTTCATTTATGTTTCCATAGCCAGAGTCTTCCTAAGATTCAATACTTCGTTTTGTTTCCTATCATCTCAGTGATCTCTTCCAAATCCTGCTGAAGTTGTTAGAAGTAAAATTATCTCCATCTTATACATGGGAAAAGTAAACTGGCCAAAGAATTTCCTAGAGAATAGGCCCACAGAGAAGGCAGTTAAACCAGGATGGAGAGAGTTAAACATATACACCTAGGGGAGGCGGAGAAGAGAAGGGAACATGAGGTGACCTGAAAATGAGCCCAGTATTTGAAGATCTCCCAACATGAGTCTGATCACATTTACAGCCCACCAATTTAGAGCCTTTTCAAATTCCATTCAAAAGGGGTTTTCCTGACGTATCTGCAAAACCTAACAAGAAGGCCCTGTCCTCTGTGTAAGCAGGTCTTCATACGTGCATATATTCATTTATTCATTCATTCTGTAACTACTTACTGAGCATCTACTACATGCGAGGCATTCCTATCAGCCCTGGAGGTGAGATCATGAGTAAAACAGACAGCAATGTCCCTCCCCTCATGGAGTTTACATATTAGTAGTGGGGACAGAAAATTAAAAAAAATAAATAAGTAAAATACGTGTCAGTATTAAGTACCATGAGAAAAAATTAAACAGGGATGAAAAATATAAAATGTAAGGATGGTTGAAATATTCGGTCAGCCAGGAAAGGTGTCATGAAGTTGAGTTAGGAAACTGACTACATGCGAAACATTTAAACACCACCTTACCTTCTCAAACAGTATTCTGAGTTCCAGATTCAAGCAGCCTGGTTTCCATTTCTTTCCTGGCACCACTTCTTACGTATTGTGAGAAAATTGCCTAATTTTCTGTCTCAATTTCTTTATCTGTAAAATGGGGATAATTTTTTTAACTAGCAGAGTTGTGAAGAGTCAATGTAAAAACAAAACAAAACACATTAAGGGCTTAAAACAGTGCCTGATGTATAAGAACTCAATAAATATTCGGTTTTGTAATTGCTTTTTTTATTATTTTATTTTTTACTTTCTATGATCCGATCTCAAGATTGTTAAAATGGGACTCATAAGGCCAGGCTTCACTGAATTTTAGCGGGAATCTCATGAGACAAGATGAAGAGCCCTTTGAGTCTGGATCATAGTAAGCACTAAATGTATGCTTCCTGCTCCTGTTATCATTGTAACCAGGTAACATTTTTGTTTTCTTAACAATTGCAACAGTATTTGGCTTGGAAAAATAGCCATTGGGAATAGAAGGTTCGATCCTGAGGACATGGACATATGTCCACAATAATCTTAGCATAAAAGAAAAGAGAGATAGTTAAGCTTCTCTGCACTTGAAAACAAGAGGATGGGGGTATTAGGAGAAAAAAAAAAAAGCAGAAGGGAAAAAGCGGAAGGAGAGAGGCACCAAGAAGCTGGGGATTTTATAGGATGAGGGAAGGGTATGTATTCTCTAAGGATGGGATAGTGGAGAAACATTTTACAAATAAAGATGAGTGAAGTTAAATTTGAAATTATTTTTGTTTCAACATGAACTGCACTTCTGTCTGCCCGTGCCACCAAAATTTTTAAATAAATACATGATACTCACAAGTGCTTTGTAGGGTCTTTTGTGTAAATTAGATGTGCCAAAAGTGACCATGAAAATGTGGACTTCACAGAATTTGGAGAAAACTTAGGGAGGACTTTGAACTTCTACAGGGAATGAATAGAGTTTGAGACAATCCTACCTAGTTCTTTGATACCTGCATAACAAGATTAATGTTAGTAATACTAATTCAATCAGAGAAGCAAAACCATTAGGAAGTGTGTGTGTGTGTGTGTGTGTGTGTGTGTGTGTGTGTGTGTGTTTTGATCGGGAGGAATGGGTTTCTTATGGAGATTTGACCTGACACAATGGGGGCTGGTTAAGCAGTCCTTGTGAGGCTGTTGTCTTTGTGCACGATTCTGGAGCTTGAAGTCCACAGCATGGGTCTTCAGGAAGAGAAGATAAGATATAAAGTAGGAGTGAGCAAGTACAATCCGGAATTTACAAGGACAGAGACAGACTGCAACCCGTATCAGTTATAATCGCCTCTAACCTTGATGATGTGGGCATCATGCCTGAAGGAGCCAAGGCTCTTTGTCACGGAGCTAAATACACATGTGGCCCAAGAGTCAGAAAACTGAAGGGAGGATCCCAGAAAGGTGGAGAATTTTTAGGCCAAGCTAAAGCTGTAATTCTAATCAAACTAAATTCAATATATTTATTAATAAATCTTAATTAAAATTCCCTAATGTTTTAAAATCAAAGATAAGTTATTATCTCTGGTAATTGCCCCTTCTGGCTACTTCACTCTCAATGATGAAAGCCTGGGGTTGGATAGAGAAATCAGAAAAGGCAAGAAAGGGAAATGTCCTATTGATGACCACATCCAATGCTCACTTTAATTTCTTTAAGCCCCCAGGATAATACTGTTTTGTTGTCTTCGATTTTCGTTTTCTATAAGCTAATGGCCCTTCACCTATTTATGCCTAGTGTTCCATTATTGGAAGGCTAAGCACGTGGGAATTGTTTATATCCTACTGCTCAAGGTCATCACCAAGGTCTGATTCCAAAAATTCCAAAGATTGTAACCTCAGGCATAAATGGGTTAATTGGAAGAGGAATCCCCAGTCCATCTGTACGTTCTGGTACAGGGAAAAATAATAGGCAAATCAGTACCTAATTTTCTGACAGAGAAAATCCATTACAAGGATGGTTGCTTTTGAAAGTATCTCAATAGGAGTCATATCAAGTCTTCTCATTTCAATGACTAGAAAAATGAATAAACTCTGGCTAGACAACTCATGAAATTATCCATCCCTGCATCATCCATCAGTCAGATGATACTGTCCCAAGCTATAGTCACTGTATAATATTCATATAAAACTTCAGCCTCGTGGAAGAAAATAAATCAAGTTTTTATGCCATCACTATTTCCTAATAAAGATTATACACCTTGAGACTGTGAAAGAATAGGGGTAATTTTTCATTGTTCCTTTAAATATACATTTCTATGTGTACAAATACACAAGCATATTAAATATATTATTTTCATTAAAATAACTTTCTCATATCAGTTGAATATTTGGAGCCAGGTAAGCAAAGCTAAAATGCAAATGTGGTCCACCATAGTAAGACAAGCCATTCTACTTACGGGGTGACCTTAAATAAAAATTTCCCAGGCGTGGTAGGAAAGCAAGTGCTGATTTTTCCATCTTCTTGCTAAGTGAACATTGCTCACTCCCAGTACCATGTTTCAAAGACCAACGGGCAAATATCCAATTCTCCCAATTGTTCATTTTTCTAGAAAAATAGAGATTACAACAGAGACCACCCAACTGCAATCAATTACAATGTAGATGATGATGATGATGATTGATTGATGACCATGATATCCAGCATTTTGATGATGCATTTTTACACATGTAGCTATTAATTTTGACTAAAACTACTTTTTATATACCATTATCTTCTGTGATGTCATGAAAAGGCTAAGTACAGCACTCCAAGTACCGGTGGACTGGGGATTTTTTAAGAAAGGGAGGAAAGGTACAGAAACAGATGCAGGAACTCTGGGTCAACCAGACCAGCAGTCAGGGGGTGTCTGAGGGTTTCAGCCCTCATCACTCCCACCACCATAACTCCCATTCACCCTTTAAAGTTCTATTTTATCTTTACTGTTATTCTTCTAATATCAGCACTATTCTCTATGAATGAATCCTTCTTATCGTGCAGCCAAAACTTATATTACTTGGGTACAGAGAACAATCACATAATACCACAAGTCTCCTTCCAGCAAAATAGTTAAAAGTACATTCTTTTTCATTTAAACTTAAACAGCCTCATCTGACTTTTTCTTTTCTTTTCTTTTCTTTCTTTTTTTTTTTTTTTTTTTTTTTTGATGGCAGCAAACACTGGATCTGCCTCAAGCAGATTCCTTGGCTGCCCAGCAAACTTACACCAGTCCACAGAGGCCCTGAAACCTCTGACAGGCAAGTAATAAGCAGCATGAAAATGGAACTAATGATCCACAGCCCCAGTGCTTTGTTTCCAGAAGCAACTGGTGTCCGCTTTCAGAATCTCTGAGAATGGAAATGATGGGAAATAGTAAGGGAAGCTATGTGGTCCAGAAAAAAAATAGTTGTGGACCTGAATGGCTTGCCATTATTACATTTCCCTATTGGGCCAGCATACTGCCTCTTTGCAGTTTGCCAGATTTCGCCTAACCTCATCCACATTTAAAAGTCTATGGAAAAACAGGAGGGCCTTTCAGGGGGAAATTCATTCATGTTTGGATTCAGGCAGATTTAGGAACCTTTAATAGCACTGTAATTACCCTGCAGGGCACACCACAGAGCAGCCAGCAAGCTCTCCCTCAATGGACACAAAATTTCCTCTGGAATTTACAGAGCAGAAACCTTAAACACACATCGCCATAAGAACCAGATTACATAATGTCTCCATCACCCTCCTGACAGCTACAATTATGAGTCAATCCCTGGTTTAAATATGAAACCGGAAGCTCCGTGTTTCCCCTCTGACTATGTGGCAGGCTAAGTTGAGCTCTTCGGGGCTGTCAGTTTGGAGATCTGAGCTGCTCCCACAGTCACTAATTTAGCATGAGACCAAATGACGGGGTAATTAAAAGCAGCACCGCAGAGACCCGCTCCAGGACCAGATGTTCTCCTTGTTTAATCATTGCCCACATAAGGAACAGAAATAGCCCCCTCCTTTAATTTTTCCTTTTCTTTATCCTCTCCAGATAATTTCCGGCTTCTGATCTTTCAATCCCACAAAATAAAATAAAAATAAAAGCCCCATTAGGAAAGATGACATGTTATTGAACATATGACTGTAAGTTGCAATGCACTCTTGTAGTCTCCTCTTTGTACTTCTTGAAGCATTCCAGCTCATAAGACATTAAGTTGCCCTGGCAACCTCACATGACTAACAGCTCCAGAGAGCCCCACCTAACTGCAAGGGCTCATTTAAGTCAACATGGGCCACCCCAGCACTTAGTAGCCTAGGGCTGAGTAAATAGCCTTGCTTTTTGGTTTTTTAGGACAGGCTGGAGGAGGCGGCCCCTCCCCTTTTATTGCCCCAAACACAGGATAAATAAGTCTCCACCCTAACTTCTCCAGGAACTTGACTAAAAGGGCATGGGTCATCTGGCAAATCAAGGCGAGGTCTTCTCTTCACGTTTCTGGCTTCTGGACAAATAAGGCAGAAGAAAAGGGAAGTTGAGCTAATAATGTATACTTTCTAAAAATGGAAAAGCAGTATGCAATATAGCTATCTCAATCTTATCAAATCTGACAAGGCAGCTTTCCTATGTCCCTTGGGATCCAGAGTCTGGTCTCTATCTACATAGCAGGGTCCCCTGGCATTAAAGCACTAGAGGCCTTGAGGACAGTCTTGGAAATCAGGAGAATAGAGATCCAACTCTAATTCCACCGTTTGTGACAACAGACAAGCCGCATTACCTCTCTGAGGTAATTTCTTAATTGGCAGTATGGAATGACAATCCTTGTTTTTATGTCTTCTGGGACCTGTCTCTGCAAACGTTCTCCTCATCCACAATTCCCAAGCACGTGGAGTTCTAGGTTCTTAAGATAAAAGGTGCTAATGAATTGTGAGTATTTCCAGATAAATAGGTATAGTCTTTTCAAAAAAAACAAGTAAATCAAAATTTATAAAACATGATCACTTGAGATTGACTTTATGAAGGTAATCAGACAAGAACCTTTGATCCTTGCTTTCCTTAATCCCTTCTGAATCATTGATTATTTGCTAGCATCAGGTAGATCGACTCAAGTCACTGCCTAGTAATGACCAATCTGAAATGAGGATAAAGGTGCTCTACAAAAGCATATTGTAAATCAGAAAGAAACAGAAATACTCAATGATTTGATGAAAACTCACTAGTTCTGTACAGGGAGGGAACCACAACTGTTACTACTATACAACTTTTGTTCTACCCTGGACTCACCTCCCATGTGAGAGTTTTAAGTGGGTTGTATTCACCTGGTTAAATAGACAAGCATGGGACAGTCTGAAAAAGAGTCTCCACTTTCAGGGATGATACCCACATCAAGACAAAATGATGACTAGAATAACAGCCAAACCGACCCACAGGACAAGAAACAAAGTTGTGGTCAGCCGTGTTTGGCATATTGCCCCTGACACAAACAAGGAATCATGGGGGTCCCATCTTTAAACAGACTTTATATTACTCACCATCTGATCAGTGTGATTGTGTGTGTGTGTGTGTGTGTGTGTGTGTGTGATGTAAGAGTGAGGGGAGAAGACAGGAGTGTGCATTTGCTTACTGAGGCATTACTTGAGTGGTATTTCCTGCAGACATGTGGAGGTATATTTAAGGTAGCAAGTACTCTAATATCTCATGTTTATCAACTTCCTGATTGGGATGCAAAAGTGTATTGGATTTTCTCAGTGGAAAACATATTCGTGTATTCCAGACCTCAGAGGAAAACAATGAAATAGAAGTCTAAACCAGGCCCAAAATAACAAGAACCATGGAGACACATTAGAGCAACGTATAAGAAACAATGATGTCCATCATGCATGGCCACTGCTCTTCCCTCCCTGCTTCCCTGGGGTGTTTAAAGAATCAGTGATTGACTAGACACACTTCTTATGAATATAAAACATCATTCATGTTTGCCAGTATTAACCATCCACTCACTTGGAAAAAGTGACTCCTCCACCTGAGTGCTGCGCTCTCCTTTGGGTCATTTCAGGAAACACTTGTAGCATGTTTGTGCTCTCAGAAATGTTTTCCAACCCTTTCCTTCGAACTTCTCCTGAACTTATGCCTCGCCCGAGGACCCCAAAGACCTACTATGCTCTCCCTATTTCTTATTTAGATTTATAAGGAACAGAAAACAGCCAGCAAGTTAGTATCAATCCCTACACTCCTGAATGTATTCGTTCATTCATTCGACATATTTGTTGAACCCTTATCAGGGCCAGGGACTGCTCTGGGCACAAGAGATACAGAAAAAAAGACAGGTTTGGCTGGGTGCAGTGGCTCCCTCCTGTAATTGGAGCCCTTCAGGAGGCCAAGGTGGGGCGGCAGGATAGCTTGAGGCCAGGATACTGTAGGCTGCGATGATTGCACACTACACTCTAGCCTGGGAGAGCGTGCAGGCTCTGTCTTCGTTTGTTGTTGTTGTTTTGTTGCTGTTGTTGTTTAAAGGTTCACGTTCTCAAGGAGGCATACACTAGTGGAAAGACACATTAGACAATTAGCCCTAGTAAAAAGTGACACAAAGGCAACCAAACAGAGGTCCCAATAGGATCTTTTTGTTTACTCCAGTCCCACATATCTTCCACGTGTGCAGGTATATAAAGTGTCCACCTCCAACTTAGAAAGAATTCCACAAGCACTCAGAACTTCATGACATTCGTTGTCTGGCTTTGTGATATTCACTTTAACATACGACAAATATTAAGCTCAGAGAGGCTATGTGGATTTTCTGAGGTCACACAGTTGTCTCAATGGAAAAAGTAGGGAAATGTTATAAAATAATACGAGTATCAAAATAGCTGTCCCCTCGTCGTCCTTCAACACTTGCAGGTTACATCACTTTGCAGGTCTGGCTGTGACATCACTTCTGGATATGCGACACAGCCCACCCCACCACTGAGAAAATGGAAAATGCTGAGCGGTAACCTCAGAAACAACTTCCTCCTGCAAACGCAATTTCTTTTCCGCCTAAACCTTTACAGCAGGGAAGGTAGGTGTAAGGCGCACCAAAGAGCCTTTCAAAGTAGGAACCCCGGCCTGCAGGTCAGCCTGGATGGTGTCCAGATTGGGTCCCACCCCTAGTGAAAACCAATCTGTTTCTGGGTACGCTTTTCTGATGTTACAGAACGTCTGCGAGAGAGGGAGCTCAAGTTCCTGCCTGCTCCCGAAGTAACCCGGCCCACAAAGGTGCACACACACGTCCGAGACAGAAAAAAGCTTGCCGGTCGTTCCCTCCTCCCAGGCCTGCAATGAAATACGCTTTAATTGCATCAAAGGGTTCTTCTCAATGGGGTTTCAGAGGCGCGAGAGCGGCGTTCCCAGCGAGGGTTCCTTTCCGGCTGGCCAGCATTCCTCAGCGCTGCGCGGGGAAGGGGATGGGGCTCCTTGGGCAGGGCCTGAGGCTCATTTCCATTCCTGTCGCATACAGCCTCTGTTGTGCGGGCTGGGCCTGCAGAGGGTAGCCGCGGCTGCCTACGAACAAAGCCCCATTCATCCCCAGGGACGCTTCCTCCCCGCCGGCCCGCGGCCGCAGATGGGCTGGCCTGGGCACGCCATCCTGCAACCCGGGCGCGCGGCCCGGCCTGGCGCGCACAGGGCTCCGATTCAGGACGCCGGGGCTGGCCGGGGCGACCCGGGCTGCTTTTTCAGCAGGCTCCACAATGAGGATGGGCTGAAACTCGCTTTCATTTCTGGGCCGGGGACAGGCAGACACTGAGTCCTTTCAGCCGGGAAATCCTCAGTTTACTCACGGCTCGTTGGGAGCGAAGATGTCAATTTCCACTGCCCTCTCCCGGCCGCCCCCACCCCTGCCCCCTCGGGATGGTACGGTCCGAAGTTTCCCAAGTTGTGAGAGGACTTTGTTTCTCCTCTGTGGCCTCTGAAATCCCGACGAAAGGGTCATTTCCTGACTTTTGTGTCTCTTCAATCCAGTGCCTTGAACGTTCTTACCCTCTTGTTGTGACTGAGTGCTTAATTGCAAGGCTGCTCCCTAACTTTTTTTCAGAGCTGTAACATTCCTCTAGGTTCAAGTTTGGGACCGTGGCTTCACAACAAAGACCGGTTTTTTCCTCCCCCTCCTCACTCCTGGGAAAAAGAAAAAAAGGAAAAGAAAGAAAGCAAAATGCGTTTGTTCAGCAGCAACCATGTTCACAGATTTCGAGCACGTATCCTCCGGCCCCACACGTTAGACCAACAACAGGTTAATGCCACGGAGCGCTCTAACGCCAAATCGAAGAGCTACAGTCTCACTTTTTCTTAAGTCTCAGGCAGCTGGGGGAGTTGGGGCAGTGTGTGCTTAATTTCTGGTCCACAATCTAAAACAGAAACAGCCTCCAGATCTACATTCCTAGGCTCTGGCTTAAACAGGGAATGGCAGAATCAAAGAACACCAGATATAGGAAGACTTATCAACCCTAATGCATTCATTGTACAGATAAGAAGCAGATAAGATCTAAGAGGGGAAGTGACTTGTCCACCCTCCAAAAGAAGCTGGTTCATCCCAGTAAAAATTGCCTCAAACAAACTTAAAAATCATTGTCAAAAAGAAAACCTCCAAGAAAAAAGTGGTGTTCAAAAATATGTTTTCTTTTCTCCTTTTGTGTCAGAAAAAGTTGTCTCTGAGTTGGTGGGAAAAGGGTGGGAACCCAGGTTTGAAATGAGGATTAGAAAAAAACCTTCAAGTATCTTTCCAAAGAATGCTCTCTGTGTTTCTTTCACTTCCTGCATTTTGAACATTGCTACTCTCTCTCTTCAAAGTACAGTCATTCCCCCGTATCCGTTGGGATTGGTTCCAGGACACACCCCCACCCATAACCCAAACCTTGGGTGCTGAAGTCCCTTACGTAAAATGCAACATATTTGTATATAACCTATGCACATCCACCCTTATCCTTTACTTCGTCTCTAAATTACCTACAATGCCTTAAACAATGCCTACACATCACTCAGTTCTCCTGGATTCAATGTAGTACTTTGTGTGTGGGGCAAATTCACGGTTTGCTTTTTGGAACTTTGTGGAATTTATTTTCTGAATATTTTTTATCTGCGGTTGGTTGAGTCCATGGATGCAGAACTGACAGATACAGAGGGCCGACTGTATTGCGTCCTTGGTGTGGCTAAAAAAAATACAACAAAATAAAAACTGGTTACCTGCTACTCCAAGACTTCTTTCATCTTGCAGGAAAAAACCTTCACAATCTGAAAATGGAGATAGGATTACTTTGCATGGGTTATTTCTAAATGTACAAAGTGAATCAGTATACACACCGATAGAGAGAGAGGAGTGCTTGTCACGTACCAAGTACCATCCTAAGCACTTTATATGCATTACCTCATTGAGTGCTCGCAATAGCCTGTGAGGAAGATACTGTTACTAACCCCATTTTACAGAAAACAAACCAAAGCTGAGAGGGGTTAATTTTAACTTGATCAAGGTCACACAGATGTTAAATGGCCAAGCCAAGCAAGGTGACTCCTGGTCTTGATCTCATTCACACAAGGCTTCACTGAATCTTGATGCACAAATACATGGGGACACACTGGGCACAGAGGTCTAGACTTGGAAGCCAGGAAAGCTCCAGCCAAGACATAGGATTTTGTGTTTCAGCAAGGGAGGGGCTACAATGGCATGCCTGAAGGCTACAGGAGGGAGAGTCTGCCTCATCCTACCCCACTTGGAAAGAAAAAAGGCCATGTGAGGACTTACTCATTTCACACTGAAACTCTCCTTTGAGAAAGCAAGAGTTTGAATTCATAGTCACTCCCTGTTCTGGGCGGTCTTGTGATTTTATCTTTTAAACAATGCTCTGTAAACAACTGTGTCAAACCTTGCTAGTTGTCACGGCAGAGGGGAGAAGACAGTGGTTAATTATACTGCTAATAAAATGTGCGGCCTATAATTGACATACATCCCTTTTGCCCCATAACTCACTAGCCAAAACTATTATACCACCTCCACTACAATAGAAGTCCAGGAAATGAATTCCAGCCCTGTGCCCAGAATAGGGGACAAGGAGGACTAAAACTGCATGGTAACCAGCCCTAGTGATGACCATCACACTCAATAAACACTGCTCTTCTTCCGATGGATAGCGAATAGCAGTACTTTTTTTATAACTTCCCATTTTATAGCTAGTCCATGAGACTTTAGAGCAGCTCTAATGTGGAAGGCTGTGTAATCTCAGGAGTCATGCAAGTCATCACAAGATTCAACAAGAGCTTCTGGCTGCACCGGGCTACAAAGGTGTTCTCTTGCTTCTTATGAGCTCCACCATCCCAGAAGAGGAAAAAATGAAAATAAACTCTTAAGGAAAATGGTCTCCTTTGGCATACCCAACTTGGAGATCATTGTGGGAGGGAGCAGAAAATATGCAAATAAAAGCAAAAGCAAATTTGACCACAGAACTAAGAAAGTCTGCAGGAAAGATGCTAGAGTCACAGGAAACATCACTGACATTGTCGTTTTCTCCCACATTGGATTTGCCTAGCTGTGTCTTATGGAAATGATTCTTAACCTCTCCTCAATATTTCCCAAACGAATTTGCCTTTGTTTTGGTGTTTTCTGAGCAATTCGAAGCTCATCTGGAGTTAAGATGACACACGCTTTGTTCATTGACTGACCTGTGTAGAAATGCTGGTCAGCTTCTCTCCTTTTTGACTTCTGCTTAACTTCAGATGCAGACTAGCCTATCCCATTCTTATCTGATCCTTCCTCGATTGTTGGGCATTGTAGATTGTTACTAATTTTTAAAAATCATACATATAAAAAGAAGCACTAAAATAAATATTCTGGTACATAAAATCTCTCTCTGCATATATAATTATCTCTGGAGACTAGAATCACTCAGTAAAATTTTGTGAATTTTGCTCCAGAAAAGCACCCTGACCCGTATGGTAGTCTTTACCTCTACTTGTAGAAAGACCACAGAAAGGGAGTAACTGCTGCAGAGATAGCATCACCTGGAGTCATGGGAATTCCCTGGACTTCGTGCTTCATGGACAACAGTGGAATTCAATTCTTCGGGAACATTGTTCAGGATGGTATATATGCCTCAAGATTCCCTTACTTACAAAATGTAGCCTAAAAGTGGCCTGATTTCAAATGATTATATGACCACATAGCAACAGACTGCTTAGGATCCAGTAAGTGAAAAAAGTGGACCCTACAATGACAACCAATTTTTTTTAAATGCTGACAAAAGCACTGTCAAAGACAACCTCAAAGTATGGATGTGTGCAGATAATAGGAATGGTTTTTTCCTTTAATCTTCCAAAATTTTAGAATATGATGATATTGGTTTATAATGATGTAAAAAAAAAAAAAGTCGCATCAAAGACACATCTGATGAGAATGTGAGCTGGGAAAGCTGTGTCACAGCTGCTCTTTCAGAAGTAGCCGGCCATTGTTGCTCTGGAGCCAGCCCCAGTTGCCTGGATGTGGAGGCCGCATTTGGCTTCCCCAGGGTTTTCATGTAGCTACTTCCTCTCCCCACAAACAGGCAACCACCCGGGCGGCTAAGACAACAATGCGATGTCGATGTCGTGCATCATCACCAGACCTGACTGGGAGGCCCGCTGTGGGCCCCAGACCTCCTCTGAGAGAGCGGACTAAACTCGCAGGGGTGTTTCAGAGCAAAATGGTTTCAAAGCAAGAAACCATTTAAAAGAAACAGGAAACAAGTCCCTCAAACCCAAACCATGTGGAAAGATAGGCTACATCATTTAAACAAACCAACAAGAATACAAGTTTGTATAAATACCCTGCTACTTCCACATTTCTAAAAATCATTGCAGTCCAATTAGGAAAAACTTGTTTAAGAAACATTTATTAAGAACCTTCATAAGCCAGGCATTGCGATCATCTTAAGGTTTCCAATTAAATAACATCTCAGCCCTCCTGGGACACCCATCCTACTGAAAGAGATACACATGCAAATAATGAATCAAGCCTGGCAATATGAAAATTTTAATAAAAAAGGCAACACATGCCTCTATCTTAACATAAAAGGAAACTTAAAGGGCCCACTAGATTTAGCAATTGAGTAAAAAATTCATAGGCTAGGGGATGAAAGATGCAGTGAATTGAGAAGGTAAGGTGAGGGAGACGAAATAAACACTGTTCTCTCAAGAAGCTTAGCTGAGAGGAAAAGAGAAAAGACAGCAGGATAACAGGTTAAGTTGGAATTCAGGATTATTTTCCCTAGTGGGAGAGGTATGAATATGTTTGTAGGGCGACAGGAAGATTTCAAGGTAGAAGTTGAAGATACAAGATAGGGAAGATGGAAGGGGATGGCATTCAGCACATATTTAACTAGTACAAGCTTTTCCTCTTGGAATTTTTACCCTATCAACCACAAACAAAACGTTTCTGCCTGTATAAAGAGCTCATCTTTTCCAGCTTTTCACCTTGCATGGTTTTAGCAAGACATTAGATGTATTAGATGACATTAGATCCTGTCTTATGTAAATCTGGAATTTTAAAAAATAACAAAGATCATTTAGAATTTATGAATTTTTGTCTACTCTAAAAGGAAACAGATTATAGCTATTTCATACTTCCCTTTGCATTTTCTTTCTTCTTCAAGATCATTACGTAAACGATATGACCTCAAAGTTGTAAGAAACAGAGATGCACGGCAAATCACTGCGTCGAGAGAAACCCAGTTATCCATAAGTTATTTGATGAAGAAAAAGGGGAGCATTACCAGGGAGAATATTATATTTTTCTTTTCTTTTCGAAGTGTTTTAGATTTTAGTTACATTTCCTTTTTACTTACTTTACATTATTTATTTTTTAAAAATTCACTGGTTTATCACAAATGTACATCTGTTCACCAAACATGGATAAAATCAAAAGAATGAAAATATTTCTTATTAGAAATAATACTTTTTCCATTAATTAGTTGCTTTTTTTCCTTCAGTTAATCAAAATTAATGCTGGTTTCCGAAAAACAGATGTTTGAGTGGAAAAGACAATAATAAAATGAAATAATCCTTTGCAATAAATGTCCCAAGTCTTTTCAAATATGAAACTTTCTAC